TCAGACCACGGTGTCCCGCCATACAGCCTATCCTGACACAACGTCATCGACAAGCTCGCCGAATGTGGTGCCAAAATCATGTCCGCAGACCCTTGTTTTAGTGGAGAAATGTTGTTTTTACAGATGAGTTCAGGTTTAACATTTCCCATAGTGATGACGTCAACGTGGCTATAGACGCGTGGGAGAACGTTATGCACAGGCCTGTGTCTTGGAGAGGAATCGCTTTGGTGGTGGTTCCGTGATGATTTGGGGTGGAATAACAGCACGCCAAAGAAGTCCTTTGGTGATTGTTCAGGGCAACTTAACTGGTGTGGGCTACAGGGATCAGATTCTTCGACCTGTGGCAATTCCTTTTCTGCAACGTCATGGCCCTGGGTTAACATTCCAACAGGACAATGCCCGCCCTCATACGGCAAGGGTTGCTATGGATTCTTGCAACACCACAACGTTGACTTACTGCCTTGGCCTGCAAATTCACCGGATCTCTCCCCGATAGAGCATGTTTGGGACGAGATGGATCGACGTCTACGCCGTCTTCCTCATCTGCCAGATAACGTCCTTGACCTTGCAACAGAACTTGAGAGAATCTGGCGTGACATCCCACAAGCCTTCCTTGCACGTTTGATAGGCTCTATGCGTCGTCGATGCACTGCTGTTCTCAATGCCGATGGTGGACATATCCGTTATTGAGCTTGTGACATGGTCGTTTGACCCCTGTCCCGCTTGTGGACTCGTGACGTCATTGTGATTGACTTTTCAATTGAAATTCTCCCGACTTGTTATGGTCTCATGATCCCTCCATTAAAGTTTATATGTACCTTTGACATTGTTATCGTACTTATCAACTGGGATAATATTTTGGCAATGCACAGTTTCTTTATGTGGCTAGTATATACCGGGCTCCAGATAAGGGCCGTATCGGCGTATGTACGGATATAAAATGTGCACGATACGGTAGGACATAATTTAGAAAACGTAGCAGATACGCACTACAGCAATAGTGTATGGTCTTAGAATCATATTTATCTGAAAAAAGTATTGTTTTATAGTTTATTGACCTGTTTACACAAGAGTACCAATGTTGTGGTGCATATATGAAACAAAACACAAGATTAGTGATATTCCATTAAGTACTCTAAATGTACTCTTAAGGTTTTCCAGTACTCCTGCATTGAAACAGTAAGGAGTACGTACTCCTGATGTTGAAAATTTATCTGGAGCCCTGATATATAATCATTCATACCACCTCGACCTGTAAGGCACGTTACAAGAAGTGAGAAAATCTGCCACTGAGCCTTGTGATTGCTCATGGTAGGTGTGATGGTACCAGGGACACGCAGGTTATGGTAACTGGCGTTATCCAGTCCAAAAATACCTGCCCATTCATTCGCCATGGTAATCACCATCAGATTTCTTGGCCTCAAAAACAGTCACAACCCACAATCAGTCCATTGCTACGGGTACCAGCATGCAAGATGATCAGGCGTCTACCTTTGCCTGATGGTAACACTGGTGCCTTAGAACAATATGAAGGAAGCTACATCTGATCGGTTGAATGATTTATATTACACCAGGTTTCATCAAGGTATATAATTTGAAACCCAAAATTGCGGTATTCTTCAACTGGTCTGAGATAAGCTGATAGCATGGACAGGACTGAGTACTTTTCTCTAAACACAGCTCTGTCATTTCCGCTTTTGGTGTACCTGAACCCCATTTCTGCCAGAGCTACAATAAGTGTTGTTTTCGAGACATTTATTGTATCTTTGATCTCATCTTGTATTTTAGCACACGGTGGGATTTTGCGATCATACAGTTTATAAACTGCACAGCGTATGACACCCTTATCAACGCTATCCAGTTTGTGTTTCCTACCTGGTTTTGATTTTGACACGACCCCTGAGGTAACTGATTTGTTTACAACTTTGTAAACCTGACTATATGTCAAATTAAGGGCTTTATACATTCTACAGTAAACCCTGTCATAGCTGACAAGAGGTTTCCCCCTTTGTTTCTCCAGTATGAAATACTGGTATAAATTTGAAATGAATTGTTCTGCAGAGATATCAAGTCGCATGTTGCCAGTTCAATGCTCATACACGAAGTGAAACTTCTATGGGTGAACAAGATTATCTAAGCGATTTGAATGAAGACTTTTTTTTACGTAATTATTTTAAATATAACTACTACAAGAGTTCCATCTTTTTCACATATAGATGTTAAAAAAAACAAGACATTTTATAATCATTTGTGTAATTTAATTAGTTGAGGCTATATGAATAATTATAGTCTGTATTTCAAAACTACAGTTTGTACTTAGAATATTTACGAATGTTGTTAAAACGTCAAAATTTCCTGTGAAGTCAGCCCTCAAGTGCATTTTTTCATCTGAGCTTTAATATCCAACTAGGTAGAGTCGTACATGTATCATATATGTGCTTTTATCTTGTGTCAAATTCATCATATTGATATTGAAGCCAAAAAGCATTTTCCAAGCATTTCTGGCCTTACTTTAGCCTCGACGATGGCCCTCCATAGCAACTGCTCCTTGACTGCTATCATGGAAGGATGCTTCTGGCATTCTGAAAGTTTTCTATTCACATTACCTGCAAGATCCGTTTGTCACGGATGTCCAGGGACTACACTCTTGTACTGGCTCAGCAGCTTACATCGGCCCAACAACGCAGATGAGGGACGGTTCTGCGTTCGTGTTACTGCTTCGATGTATATACTGAATAAAAGTTGAACTGGATCTCAACCTTTTGTTCTCATTTTATGGGTTTAAGAACTACTTCACTTGGCCTCCATACCAAGGCATCGGGAATACGGCCACCTAGCGTGGCCCTACGGACCTGAGGCACAATCAGTATGACGATGCAGAGGTGTTCGACATTCACGCTTACTGACCTCTACTCCACGGAGCAATTACGTCAGTGAAGTGTGTCACTCCCGAATACCAGTGGATTTCGTTACGTACTGGCCCCTAACGTTGCCGGGCACATCCTTTGATAGACTAAGGCTTAGTCTCTGAATATATATAATTTGGATAGTAACAAACAAGCCCATTTATATTGAAAAGGAGCCCTAGGGAGACCAGAGATTCAGAACCTGAGGAAATCTAGACTTGCTTTATTTAGGGCTTTAGCACTGCAGAGAGGGCTAGGCAGTAGGGAAAATAATGTTGTTCAGGGACTGTGAGACAGACTAATCCTTTGACTAAGCTGATGCGAAGGAGGAAGGGTCAATTTGATGCAGTCCCGGAACTGAAGTTAAAACTTGGATTTGCTGAGTTGTGCTTTGCTTTCACCCACCTCGGTTGGTGTCTGGGGGCCTTCTCGAAGCAGGGGTTGGCCCGATTCTAGTCGCTAGACTTATATTACAGGGGTACCTTGTAAATCGTGGCGAGGCGAGGCCTACTTGCCGAGTGGTGTCCTTTGTCTTGTACAACTTACAAGGTTGTGCCTGAACACCACATCTCCCTGGGAGTCGTTGTGCTTAGTAAGCCAAGGAGTTCTTGAGAACCCATTACAAGCACTGGAGTTGCGTGCATGCATGACAGGCCTCACTTGTACATCTTTATCTATGGCTGTCGTCAGTCCACACAGCTTCTATACCAGCTGTTCGCACTGTTCAGACAGAAGGGTAATCTGCGGCCTGCAGTCCAACCGTGGGATAAGTGCAAGTCATGAGATAGGATAAGTTTTGAAATTTGAAAATTTTAGTATAAATTGTATTTTCATATACTATTGGGATAGTCGTGAAATACTGTACCGGAATATACCGGGAACATTGCACAGCCCTAATTGAAAATCTGAAGAATTTACATTGTGAGAATAACCATTACACAGAAATAATGGCTATGATGTATTATTAGAAATATTTCCAGTGATAACCACTGTTTGATATGGAACGGACACACATAAGGTAATTTCAGGGTCAAGGACATGATTGGCAGCAACGACCCAAATTCTTACAAGGAAGTTAGGCAATCAAGTGTTAGAGGTAGTATTCTAAGAATTATGATTGTTGATAATGTTCAATTCCCATCACTAATCATAGGCAAACTTGTATGACTGCTGTTGAACAAACTTGAACACATCACAGTCATCTCAGTACTACTTTTCCATGTAAAGTTAATGAGCAAGCAGTGCACAGAACTACCAAATCACACTTTTAAAATGTATACAATAATATAAAGGTGAAACATACCCATTCATAAAGAGATAAATGTTTTGTCTTTATATTAGTAGGTGCCAGTTTCAGACTTTGATGTTTATATCCTGCTGGGGGAAAATGTTTTGTCATAATCAGTTAATTTTTAGCTAACAATGCTGACAATGCACAAGTTACTGAAAAATGAGGTTTTTTTTAGTCAATGTTTATGCATGATAATAATGTTCTATAAAGTATGGAGAATATTATGTGGAAACCACACTGTCTTCTTACACCAATTATACAACATTTGTCATTACTTGACAAATATTATGCTCACACTGAATGCACCTGGGAAGTCTTGTGCCTCTTCATTGGGCACCCCATGTACATGATGTAAATGGTTACTGCTTGATGTGAACTTCTTAACACACAACTTTTTACTGAATAAAGTTGATAAGAGGCGTGATCAGATGAGTTCAAAACACAACAGATTCCTAAATTTTGTGTGTGACTGTATCTATTCCAGAAATGATGTAAACACTGTCAATGACTGCTTTTTCTTTTCTGGGATATTAATTTCTTAGCATGAATAAATAAGATAGTTTTTATGCTTACTGTTATTTTGAAATGCATTGAAAATTTGAAAACATGTCATTGTTTATGTGTGCATGTCTGTGACGCCTTACTTGCTTCACCTCAGTGTATAGCCTAGTGGATAAAGTAGTTTCTGGTCACTTATGGGTACATTGTATAGACTCTTGATAATGCAAAATAGTTTTGTTTACACATTTCTTGAAAACTCTCCAGATGTGCACAGATGTTCATAACATCAATTTTTTTTTCAGTGAAGAAGTATTCTCCAACTACCGTCATCGGAAGATAGTTGCAGCTAGCTTACCCCACCCTGGTGATATAGTAGAGGCTGGGCCACTAGCTGTGAGTTACAGTGAGGGAGTGAGTTTGGTTTTACGCCGCTTTTAACATTATTCCAGCAGTATCACGGCGGGAAACAACAGAAATGGGATTCACACATTGTTCCCATGTAGGGAATCGAACCCGGGTCTTCCGCGTGACGAGCGAACGCTTTAACCCCTAGGCTACCCCACCGCCCTCAGTAAGTTACAGAATATCTAACTTCCAAGTCAGATCATTTTATTCATTTGTGACAAATTTTCAGTGTTAGTTCGGCTGTTCATGACAGTTATAGGGTCCATTGTGCCAAAGCATGATACTTTGCATGATGATAGATGTGGGTGTTTGCCTACCCATTACGTCCAGTTGAATATCGCTCATTTGTTTCTGCAAGTTTTTGTTGCATTTCGTGTTCTTTGTTTGTCAAGATGGAGCGAGTGGCATGCTACGTTCTTCTACATGTTTACATGTTCAGTTGATGTTGCTGTGTTTGCTGTATGTTTTGCCTCGCATTACATTTTTACAATTATCGACCTTGTGTTCAGTTCTTCTTGTTTACGTTATGTTGTATTATGTTTATACATACATGCATTATATGCACATACTTTTTGCACACTGCTTACCAGGTTTGGTTGACTTTTTGCAGTTGTTCCAACAGTCGTTCTTGACTTGTCAAATCAATCTAGCCCCACAAATCACACAACTCTTGTCTCGGAGCCTTGATGAAGCAGCACATGATGACGAGGGATGTGATATCTGTCTGGGATTCACACCAAAAGCTTGTAGATCTAGACATGCGGACTTGCTATTCTAATCCAATTTATTGAAGGCAGGTAAGGGTACATCTTCTTCAACAACTACTTCCTAAGCGGGCGAAGGTTTCTGAGGAAGCCCCTACTGTTCCCAGACCTCCACCTCCCCCACAAACAACTACACAAAATGCTGCTGCACCTTGCACTTGATGCCATTTCATCTCTCTCTTGCAGCAGCAGATCAGTGATCTCCAACATGGTGTCTGGGCTCCAAGAGGAGGGAGGGGGGGGGAGGATCCAACCTGAGCTACGGCTCTGGAAAGGGTTCGACCTCCGGGGACGTTTGGAACCAGGGGACACGTTCTGGGTCGGGCTTTGGCCTTGGTATGGTTCTGACTCCAGGAAATGGTAGCTCAGCCTTGGCCAAGGGGCTGTTGAGAGTATCAGGGCTACTGTTACCTTGACATCCTGAGGATCAGCCAAGTGGCAGGTTAACCCAGATTTATCAGGCAATTCCCATGTGTCTTGGGATCGGGGTAAGGTTTTGACTCGTGGACAGACAAGTCTCAGCGTCTTGGCTTTTTGGACCCTCTGAACTTTTCATCAAATTCCTCCATAGTGGACGCGGAGATCGCTCTCGTCAAGGAGAGCTTGTGCGTGAGGAGGAGGCGAAGGAGGAGTCCGATGATGTTGCTTTTATGTTCAGATCGTCCCTGAGGCAAGGATTGCAGCAGTTCTGCCTCAGGTTGCTGTCCATGAGGAGGTCCCCGATCCATCTGAGTTCCAGCAAGGCTTCCGAGACACGTCTCCGCATATTGCCATCTCTGGGTAACGAGGTTGTCGATCCTCTTTTGTCAGGTACCAGGACACGTTTCGATTTGCCAGATGTTTACTATAGGCACCTGATGGGGGAGGACGCTGAAGTCTGCATACCGCTCCTTCGAGGAACAATACCGGAATGCAGCAGAACAGCTAAAGGTCGTGGTCAACTTGGCATATCTCTCTGCTCTACAGAGCTGGTGGACCAAGGCAGGAGCATTGGTAACCCTTCATCGGTGACTCTAGTGTGGCAGTTGATGGAGGTCCACTCTCATCTGGCTGTGGACAGCTTTGCAAGCCAGATGATGTGCACAGTTATGGGCCTGCGATCAGGTGCTCTCAGTACCCCCAGCACAGCAAAAGACACGTTGCCAGCCGCAGGGGTTCACTGCCTTCTGCCACAAATCCCTGTTGGTGGCCGGCTCTCCCTCTTCCTCTCAGAATGGGAGAAAGCTACGTCGAATCCCTGGGTCATGTCCACACTCACGTATGGCCATTTGCCACTATGGAAGCGAGATTCACCCGCGTTTTCCGGTCGTCACACACCAGTGCCTGCTTCCCAGGCAAAGGTGGAAGTACTCCGTGCTGAGGTCCAGTCTCTGCTGGACAAGGCAACCATAGAGGTGGTTCCAAAAGGCCAGGAATATATGGGGTTCTACTCCACTTATTTCCTTGTTACCAAAAAGGACGGAGGGTTCAGACCCATTCTCAATCTCAGAGGGCTGAACAAGTCAATAGAGGTGCTGTCCTTCAAGATGGAGACACTCCGTTCAGTGATCTGATCTATCAAGGCAGGGGATTGGCTGTCGTTAATCAACCTCAACGCTGCATACCTCCATGTCCCAATGCACCCGTATTTCAGGAAGTATCTTCAGTTCTCCTTTGACGGGAAGTGCTACCAGTTTCGTGAGCTCCCCTCCAGTTGATAGGAAACATGGCGGCGACAGTGGACGTAGTGTGGCCTGCATGTTTGAGGTTGAGTCCTGTATTGCAAGCATTGGCACAGCTGTGGTTCCACTCAGAGAGCTACGAGAAATTTCTTGAGATGCCAGAGTGGTTGATTCTTCATCTTCAGTGGTGGACCGATGTCGGGTATCTCCTTGGAGGCCCGATGCTCTCAGTTTAAACAGATGCATCCGTCATGGGTTGGGTGGTCGGGTGAACGGTTGGGTAGAAATTACTGAGCATCTCTGCTAAAGCCACAGCGTCCAATATTTCGAAATTCACATGTTGTTCCTATTCTGCCAGATATTCTTTAAAAAGTTTTGCTGACACATTATTCGCCTTCTTGGTGTTTTCTGGGATCAAATTAGAACGTTTGGCTGATATATCTTCTTCTGAATGCGAGGCGAAGCATTTGGTGGCCAGTTTTTCTATTGGTAACTACAGCAGACGCTTTTTTGTTTACTTCTAAACTCCTAATTCTGTAAACCTATGTTTCCATTAACCGATGCGAACCCTTTAACCCTGTGAGAAGTAATGATACCAGAGTTAGGCAAATACGCTGTTGTCAGGGCAGCAGGGTATATTTTTTCCAGTTATACCTCTCGATACCGGGGTACACAGATTTATGTAAAAACTGCATTGTCCAAACTGCTGTGTTTTACATGTAAGGTAAGATAAATATTGTATGGGTCATGTCCATGCAAGACATACAGGAATTTCACCCCTCAGTGTCTCAACTCACCAATTCCCTCACTGTCTATGCTTATAATTGATTATCTTCTTCTTGTTTCAGGCAATTCATTTACCAACAGAATACTACCCTATCACTGACTCTTACCCTAAAGAGGTTATTGAAGAGGGTAGACTCAGTAGTCTGCAGCTGGAAGGAATAGTACATGCTGTGAGGATTTTATATATTTTTAGCTTATCCTGCATTGCATATGGTATTATCATAAAACTTGTTTCTGGAAATTTCTCCCCAAAGCAGTCTTCCCGTAAACAGCCGGTACCCACATGACTCTTCTGTTTTGAGACAGCAGCATCCACTGAACATATAAGCAGGGAGGCAGCACTTGCCAGGTTACTGCAGGATAAGTATCTAATATATACTGAACCACAAGAGAAACGTCACTTTTCAAAACCAAATGCAAGATTTTTTTCTTAGAAAGTTGTGTTTTTATAATGATTGTATCGTGTTGTTAACATGTTTTAATCCAAATTGAGAGTTATAACCAACATCAGTGTCTTTTCTGATAAAAAAGCATATTGATCAAACGAACCTAAAAAGGCAGACGTAAAAGGTTCCGTATGACATACGTGAACATTAAAATGCACATTCATATCGTGACAATCCTACCAATGAAAGCGAGTCTCAAACTCACCTGAAATCATTTCTGTTTTGACACAATCATCATGGCACGACTTTCAAGAGATCAGAGCAACCAAGTCTTGGGACGATTGCAAGTTGGCCAGACTGCACGGAGCGTAGCCATTCATTTTAATGTTCATGTTAGGACAATCTGCAGACTGCAGGAGTGGTATCAGGTCACTAACAACATCCAAGACCATCCACACAGTGGGCGACCTTCAGTAACATAACATAGTCAATACCGACAGATTGTGCGCAACCATCTGCAGCATCGCGATGGAAACAGCACACCAGTCCATTGGGACTCACAGCAGACCCATCAGTGTCGATACAGTGCGTGGATGTTTGCGCAGAAGAAACCTTTGCTGGCACAGACCACTGCAATGGGCAACTCAACATCGAAATTGGTGTTATCGACAATGAAGAACTGTGCTTTTTTCTCATGAAAGCCGATATTGTGTTTCAACAGTCGATGGCAGAGTAAGAGTATGGTGAAGGCGTGGGGAACTGTTTTTCAATGAATGTATTGTTGAAAGGGACTCATGAGGTGGTCCAAGCATCATGGTGTGGGGTGCAATTGGTCTGAACCAGATAGTCGGCACCCTGGTGTTCCAGAATCTCGGTCCAGAATGAGGAAATGATGTGGCAGCTGATCGCTATATTGACAAAGTCATAAGACCTCACGTTATAACACATTTTGGACATTTCAGAAATCACTTCTTCCAGCAAGACAACGCTCATGCCCACACTGCCAGAGCAACATTGGACTTCCTCAGACAACATGGCATCCAAACCCTACAAAGGCCTGCGCTCAGTCCAGATCTGAGTCCAATAGAACACCTTTAGGACAAGATTCAAAGAAGACTGAATGACCTCCAACAAAGGCCGACAACTGCGTCTGGACTCGATCAGTCATTTCACAGAGTTTAGACCCAAGTGCCTATGGCCTTCATCAAACGGCTAATTCATTCCATGTACAGGCGATGCAATGCTTTCATCAATGTCCATGGAGGCCACACACAATACTGACTTTGGGGTGTTTTAATGGTACCATTTATGGTGATTTTGTTTGTGTGAACTATAAATGTGATTCCCCGAAAATGTGTTAACCATAATTGTCACGTTTGAACTCACTCCTCTGTTTTGATTGTTAATTAGAGTGAATTATAGTGTGTGCTTTACAAAACGGCTATCGCTGCGACATTTCTTTTGTGGTTCAGTATATATATACAGTCATCCCTCGACATAATGCGGGTCTTGGGGTCCATGGATGACCCCCCACGTTATTAGACACCCGCGTTATAGTAATGATAACATAACGGGAACAAAGGCCAAGTGAAATCGTATTTTCCATGGACATAACAAAACTGCTATTTCGTGTATTGTGCCCAGTCAAAACTATATTGTATTGTTGGAGGTGAAAAAACCCAAAATTTTGTAAATGAAAATAGATGTATGTACATGAAACTTGCAATCAAACATCACAATACATGATAATTCAATTGTTGTTCCTGTCATGCTACCTGTTATTCAACTAAGCCGGAAATAGCAATCAGCTGTGCACAGATCGATGTTTTGGTCCAATGTACCGGTGATTCAGTTAAAAACGATCCGAAAATATAACATAAAAGAATTTCTATTCCATTATCAGAATAATTTATATGTCAAGCAGTTATTCTAACAGAGATCTTATATATTGCTATCGTATAAGTATAATGCATGTTTTCTACGAACATATTTAACATAATAATTAGCATTGCTAAGCACTTTGGGTTACCTGGCTGGATACATTTTACGTAGGAGACAGTTTGACAAGCCACTGCTGACTTCCTGCGGTACGTGCCACTTTGATTGTAAAAACAAAATTTTGGCAATTAATTGTCAAATATGACTTCAATCACTCAATAACGCGGGTCTTGGGGTCAGTGGATGATAAGGCTGTAATCTGTTCGTGATTACTGAGAAAAATGTGAAATTGGTGCTATCGTGGTAGGCGCGAAAAACGGACCCTCACGAATGTGGTAAGCGGACGTTGTATGGAATGAGGTAATGCCATTTCACTCACGGTTTCTCCGTTGTTATTGTAAACAGTTTTAATGAATGAAAATGGGATTGAATTTAATCATACATTCTTGGGTGGTGGTGTTTACCCGCGCAATTACGCCGTGTGTTGCATCACAGCAAACGTTGTAAGTACTCGGCTGATTGCATGTCTTTATGATAAAGTTATTACGATGTTTCGCTGTTCATCTATTATTGTGCACATGTGTGTTGTACTTTTAAAAATCACACTGTACCTATTATTTAAACCAATTTAGTAGTACTGAGCAAATATTAGCTTTTCTTACGAGAGATGCTACCTTTAGTGTCAATCAGAGGAAGTATTTAAAGTGTTTTGATAGCAATTGCTAATCATTATCATAGGCTTGTACAGCATTTGGCAAATGAACACATGTTGGCGAGAAAGGGGATTATGATGTTTTTACAGAGGTAAGTGTCTGGTCATCTTCATTGGGAATGGATACTAAAATACTTCGTATGCACATTGATTGAATTAGATGTAATGGTTTAGAGGTTACTGACTTCCTAATAAATAGGAAACAATATACGAAATTTCAAGGACATACAAAGAATTCAAACACAATAGAATGGAGTGAATTTACTTTTTAGGTTGTCATGTTTCATATAATGAAACATAATGTATAAACACAAATAATTTTTATATAATGAAACATAATGTATAAACACAAATAATTATACATCCAAGCTCGAATAGATTAGACATAATTTAACTTACTAATTTGAAGCTTACTGGATTGTACCTAGTTACTTTCCATAATCTAAAGTTGATAATGTTACCTAATCGAATGTAAAGTGATAAGTCGCGCCTTTGCATCAAATATATAAACATGTCAGTGTTATTACGACAATGAAATCTTTTACTACGTTTGTTACAAAACACAGTAAGTTGGTAATTCAAAAACTTCTTAGACAGACAGAAGTAATATCATAAGTTATTACATGTAAACCATACAACGGTATTTCAAGCATTTTTGTTCAAGCTGTTGAAAGTTTCATGTTGATTTGAATTGTCAGTTTTCTATGCAATTTACATGAGCATTGTGTAAAACATTTGTATTTGATCTCTGTAATTATCAAATCCGGTGTAATTATCACGTGTATCAATGAACTCAGTCTCTATTGATCCATTGTTAATAAAAGCTGGATACTATATCAGCTACGGTATCGATAGACATGGGTATAATCATTCAATCAGATTACAGTAATGAGATAATTGAACACCTCTTTCGACCTTGAAATAACAGCCTCCGGTAGAATGCATATGTAGTTACGTCCTTGTTGAAAGGTTTGTCCCGTGACAAGTGTAAAATAAACAGATGCACTGTAATATCATTGGACAACTTGCTTTATGGACTCACGCCCCCTCTCTGTAATGTTTATGCATGCACATCTGTAATCATGTGAACCTCGTTTGCATTCAGTATAAATATAGGCACGCCCACCTTCATAAATATTGGGGGGGGGTCAACTGCAAATTTATACACTACAATAATTCAGTATAGTGTCACTTCGTGAATTCTGCAATACGTGTACTTTATGTTTGGATATTCATTCGTATCAAGGTGAAAATTATGTTTATATGTACAGCAGACCATTATGTTTTATGTACTAGTTGTGTGCGTTAAATGGATTTGAAAATAAATACTATCGCTACTCAGTGGTTGGATTTCAGTCGCTTTGTTTTACTTATCGAAAAACACTAAAATGAGGACAAATAAACTCGCCAAAGTATCTATCTACTCCTATTTGTCTTATGTGTATATTTCATACATCGTTACCAGTGTGTATGTTTACAATACACAAACTGTTACATGATAGCTTGAGATGATAAAGCCGAAACCCAGCATATCGACAGGTCAACGATATAGCCAATAATCAATCTCTATCCAAGCTGTTGAGTGACCAAACGTGCTCTTCAGAAATTTCGCTCACGCCCCATCCCCTGTCCTTTCCTCTGTGACAGGTATCTCATGATACGATTGGTCACAGATAACATATGACCAGCCACTATTTTGAACAGTTGAGATACCGAACGTTCTCTTCGGGAAATTTGATGACACCCTATCACGTGACTCTTTGTTTTATGTCTATGCAAGGAATATGTAGTATACATTATTTATATGTATGTATGTTTGTATGGTCACGTATGTTTTCTGCATTAAATCTAGATGAAACAAAGTGCCAAGCTATGAATGTACTCTATGTTAGTCACAGACTAGCGTAATAGTACTTTCATTAAAATAAGGTGGTGGCTCTCGGGCTTAATGAGTTAACCAAATCTTAGACTTAGATTCTAGATTCTTAGACATCAACAGCAACTGCAAACTACACACATGTGAGACTGGAGTCACACCCACAAGCAAGTCAGATATGCCATTTCATGGCCAGTGGAAATGAAGAGAGGTTAGAATGAACATACTTCCATGTTTGATAGACACACATGAATATGCCTGTGTTCCTCAACACTACTGCAAGAGGGGGAATATTCAGGTCAGATCAATGTCTGACACTAATGGCTTCATCTGGGGTTGGTGATCTGCTTAGTTCCCACCAATAGCCAAAAACTATAGATGCCCTCAATGTCCTCAACTGCTATATCACATATATGTCTTGACTGTCTTTAGCTGTCAAAGAGCCATTGCTAGTACCTCTGGCCCAGTGTGCGAATAGGTTTCCAAATTCAGCTGGGCCAGTGACTGGAGATTTACTGGCGTGACTGGAATTTTGCTAGCCATGGGCTAGCGGGCCAGTGGCTATTTCGCACACTACTCTGGCCTGAGGATGCTCTGAACATGCTTGTAGGATAGCAGAATGAAGCAGGTGTTTCTGTTGACCCGGGCCATGCTGCTCTGCATTGTGGGAACAAAAGGTCACTTGCACACCTTTTGTGTTGATTGTTGGAATTGAACTTTCTGTTTAACAGTTGTTTTGCATTATGACGATATGCATTGATATTGGTGAGGTCAGCTGTTTTGAAAATGTTTCAAAATGAAAATTTGGGGTGGGAATGTTTGGGGGCATCCATAAAAATATGAGAACCTGTCTAGTTAAAGATATGATAGTTATCAATTTAATATTCACTGACAGAAGTTCGTTTTTCAATCTGTAAAGTTTAAATTAGGATGGCCAAAGGTTACATTACAAAAACTAAACCATCCTCAGACAAATTTCAGACAAGCAGAAGTATATTTTTCTAATTGATAATAAGACAACAAATTTTTGGCATAATATGTAGCCCCCAAATCGTCACAGTCTTTATAAATTACAGTGTATTTTCAGTGTCAGAGGCATGCTGTGATATTGCCCAACAAACAGCGAGCAGGATTCTTTATTGGAGATGGAGCAGGTGTGGGGAAAGGCCGCCAGGTAACCAGACATTTCCCCTCTCTCTCTCTCCTTTCCTCTCAGATGGACCCGTGAAGATCCGGGGTAGAATAGGTCTTCAGCAACCCATGCTTGCCACAAAAGGCAACTATGCTTGTCGTAAGAGGCAACTACCGGGATCGGGTGGTCAGGCTCGCTGACTTGGTTGTCTGGTTCAGACTCGATTATTTACAGACCGCCACCATATAGCTGGAATGTTGCTGAGTGCGGAGGAAAACTTAACTCTCTCACTTACTTAATCCTCTCAGATGGGTAATGTTCAATGTTGACGATATTTCTGACTGACATTCGTCAGGAGTACCTGTGCCATTATGCACTTTCTTGCCGGTGCCAACATTAACAATTGTACCATAAATTATAACACGCAGCAATGAAAACATCGGCTGGAACTCTAACGTTGTTGAGCATTGAAAAAAATGGCGGCTGCTAGTATGGACAAAGGTCAAGGTCGAATGTCGTCACTCTCAATAGTGACGTCATCTGTTTGTTCTATGGCGTTTCCATATTGGTAAAAAGTGTGTCAGTGACCTCCGTCGTTTGTTGTTAGCAGTAAATGCTTAAAAAACTGATACCGTTGTTTGTTTTTATTTTTCTAAAAATTCTATCCATTTTAGCTATAATAACGGTAACGATATTTTTCAGGGCCTTATCATTTGCAGAAGCCCTACAAATATGGAAACGTCATAGAACAAACAGATGATGTCACTATTGAGAGTGACGACATTCAACCTTGACCTTTGCCCATACTAGCAGCCGCCATGTTTTTCAATGCTCAACAATGTTAGAGTTCCAGTCGATGTTTTCATTGTAATTTATGGTACAATTGTTAATGTTGGCACCGGCAAGAAAGTGCATAATGGCACAGGTACTAGTGACGAATGTCAGTCAGAAAAATCGTCAATATTGAACCAAAGTTCAAACGTGCCGTAGGTGATTAAACATCAAGAGCTGAGCTCCTTGTGACGTCACCTAACAACAGGCATGATAATGGCCCATCGTCAAGCAATTTGCGGGCATTATCAAGTTACAGTGGCCCGCTCATTTCTGATAACATGCAGGCGTTTTAATGATAATTTTATCCATTTTAGCTATAAAAGAAGTTACAAAATGGATGAGATGTTACCCTGATAGTGTTAGGCATGTGTCGATATCAAGCACTATATGGTTCAGGCTGCCATATTATAGTATGGATAACATAAAGACACCTGGCTGTTATTAAACAACAAACACACCACTTTTAATCAATCAAAATTTTCCAAGGATATTTAGACTCAAAGTATGAAAAACAATCATTGGTAATATTGAATTATATGCTGAGGAATATATATTTACAGTTTCTGTATTTTAGACATTAAACTGACACCATACATTAAAGTGAACTCAAGTTGAATTGAATTCCCTTTCCATGTGAAATGCATGAAAAGGAGGTCCATTTTGTATACTGGACATACACATAGCTGTTATAAGTTCACATTTTATGTTTCACTCTTGTTGCACAGCATAGTATGTCAAAGTAGTCGGGTAATTTTTAAAACTTATCCCATCTCTTGTCATGCACTGTCTCTTGTTCTTATTACCATAGAGTGGAAATGACTTGGAATAAATTTTCAGGGTTTTTAAATACCTTGCCTGAACACACCCCAGCTCCATCAGCTAACACGTCACTCATGCAATACATGCAGACATGCTTTGGTTGATAATGGGACCCCAGCTATCTTGCCCTTTCTTTTCACCTGGGAGTGTAGACGTCCAGTCTTTGAAGAATACTTCTTGACTGAAGTCAAGTGTTCTCCGTATTTTGTGTATTATATAAAATTTACTTTTAGTATGGGAAAGTATAACGCCTCTAACCACAAGATAAAAGTATGCAGTAGATGTAACTTCACCTATTCTTCATTTCACCCCACCTCTTTGTGCATGGATTGTTTTTGACATTTGATCTTGGTATAACTTTGCTCAGCTGTTACTCACTTATATAATGAAGATTTTACTATCTAAAAGAAGGCCAGTTCCAGGCATAGAGAGACAGAGATTGTAAACAACACTTCAAAGAATTTGGACCATCTTCATTTAAGAAGTATAAAAGAAGGCACACCACTGCTCAAGATCACCAACACACGCCCACAATGAATATCTGGAAGCCTCTTCTGATTTGTACCTTTGTGAGAATTTACATCTTTGTATCCCTCAGATCATGATTTCTGATCCTCCGTCAGTCGCATCCCTTCTGGCCAGAGTATTGGTCCTTCATAGATCTAGAGCCATGGTCAAGCAAGTAGGTATTCAGTGAGGTAGTCTGCGTAGTCTCTTATAAGGTGTCCAATAACATTCAGTTTTAGGTTTCCATCAAACTTTTGAAACTCCAAAAGACATGCACGAGACTCTTTGCCATGATCATCCTGCGCAAGATGTACTTCAGGAACCTGACCTCCATGCTCGCTTAGGAGCTCCTCGGGACTTCCTTTTCCAAGAGTGTCCAATTTGACAAGTCCCATCATCTCAGAGAGCCTTGTCCTATAAACTGACTCATCCAAGCAATGGTTCCTCGAACTTTGTGCACAACTAGGACTTTCTGACCCTATTTGACCCGATCTACCCAACACCTGTAGGCCAAAGAATTGGGATCTTTGCTCAGAATTAGACTTTGCTGTAAGACCCTTACATCGTCTGCCAATTGTGGGATCGCTGTCCCTGACCTGTGATCTGGTCCATTGTATGTATCTTCAATCCTTGTTGACATCATCACAGACAACCTTGGGTATGTTATAGCAGATATTAGCAATAGTCTTCAGGTCCCCGCCTAACATTCCCACCTTTTATTCTCCGTTTTTTCTCGTTCCAAAGAAAGACTCTGACTAGTTGTGAATGATCTTCAACATGAAGATTTTCAACATCCATTTCCTACAGCCTCCTCCAAACTTCCACATGGTCTCCATTTGCTCCTCACAATCAAGCCAGGAGGTTGTATGATCAGCGCAGATCTCCCAAGACGCATAGCTTCTTGTGCCGATCTTCCCAAACCATTGCAAGTTATATTCCAGTTTGTACACTACCAGGAGGTCCTACTATTTGGTATTTCTTCAGTTTCATGGCCAATTTCTCTGTTTCTTCATTGGAGGGGGAGTGTCTTTGAAGCTTACATCAATGACTGCTTTCAATCTCATGCAGTTCCTCAGATGCTTCAGAATGGGCTTTTTTCCTCCAACTGATTGCACCATCAGCTGGGATGGTTCGTCAGTCTTCAGAGGTCAGATTTGGTGCCTACCTAGCAACTTCAATTTATTGGGGCCTTAATTGTTCCCCCCAACAAGTTAAAGAAGATATACATCAGGTCTCATGCGAGATCTCTACATCAGTGGCAAGGCGTGCTCAAGCCTTCACGCTTTGGGGATAGCTACAACTATGCCTGATTCAGGTCTGCTTACATCTGTCCTTCAAGGATCGGGTCTACAAGCCTAGCTTTGTTTACCTTCACCCCTCCTTTAACATCTGCTTACTACTGATTTAGGTGAGTACAATGTTAATAACAAGTTCTTAGACTATATTTTTACATTTTTATTTAATATGAAAATTCTTTGGAAAAGTTTATACTAATTTTGGCATCAGTTTTTGGCCAAAATACTAATATACTAATTGGGCTAAATTGGACTTGGCATCTTGGAGTTGTACCAAGGTTCCTTTGATCTTAGTACTTCAGTCCCACCTATGATCATACAGACTGGCTGACAAACTAAAAAGTCTTGTACACCAGTGTGCTCCTTAGTGGTCATCTTGAAACACCTAGCATCAGCTTGATACTGAAGACTTTGTGGTGACTACTGTATCTCTGAGGTCCATGTCCTAGATGTGAACCAGGTGTGCTACAAAGGCAAAAATGATATCATGGTTTTACTTGGTCTCTAACCAGTTTTGTCGGGAAGAACCAGTTGCCATCATTGTCTTCTATCCTCGGACCTGACAATACTGAAGATCTTTCCCTCTGTCCACTCCTTCTGAATGCGCTTGGTTATCCTCAAGGCCCACATGTATGCTGATCTACACCCTCTAGTTGCTTCCAGCCCTAATGAAACAAGGGCAGCTGCCTACACAATGACCCGTCATAGCAACTGTTCCCTCACGTCCTTAATGGATAGATACATATAAAGAAGGTTTGGAATGGATTCATTGATTGCATCTTTGTTTTATTTGATAAATCTATATATGGAACATCTCATCACATTCTGTTCGGATGTGTTTATGTCAGCCCGGTTAACTCCTCAATCAAAAGTGACCCAAGAGCGCTAAAAGGAATTGACTATTTGGAGCAATATTTGTTGTCATGTATATCAGATATAGATGTTTCAGATATTCGTTTCAATTTGATGGGGGATTTTGATTCAAGGACGGGAGACCAAAGAGATTTCATCATTCACGATGACAACCAACATATACCTAGTTTGGAAGATATGGAATCTAATTCTGACAACTTTCACCATCCCAGGAATAATGTCGACAATATCGTAAATTCGCCGTATGGACGAGATCTGATAGATTTGTGCTGCGCTCACAACATACACATGATGAATGGGCAAAGTAGATCTGACCCTTGGGGTGACATGACTTGTTTGTCTCACAATGGCTCCAGTATGGTGGACTATTGTTATCCCCCGCAACGCGTTTTGCGGGGGTTATTAAAATGGACTCCCTCCGTCCGTCCGTGCACATTTGTCTTTTCCGGAGCAGAACTCTAAAACCGTTCAATATTTTTTCACCAAACTTGGCACATACATGGATCTGGTGGTGTACTGGTGCCTTTTGGTAGTTTTGGAATTCTGAATAAAATATTTTTGGCGTTTCCATGGCAACAAGTTCGACTTTGACTGAAATTGGTGGTAGTGGTCTTTTCCGGAGCAGAACTCTAAAACCGTTCACTATTTCATCACCAAACTTGGCACACAGATAGATCTGGTGGTGTACTGGTGCCTTTTGGTAGTTTTGGAATT